AGTCTGCTCTTTCTGAGCCTGCTACGGTAGATACCTTGCTACGTGAAGAAGTTGAGGAGGGTTGGATTCGCGAGGTTCCTGGCGGTGTTGCAGCTCTGCGTGACCAGTATGCGCACTGTGCCGTTGGTAAACTGGGACTTGTGCAGGCTCCTGGGCGCGCGCCCAGACTTGTGGTGGACAGCTCGGTTTCTGCTGTCACTGAGAACACCACACTGCCGAACCGCTCCTGCAACCCAACACTTTCGCACCTTCGCCGCTGTCTGCCTCTTTCACCAGCGCAGGAAGAGCTCTGTGCTCTGGTACTTGACGTTTCCAAGGCTCACAGGCGCATTAAAATACGCCCTGAAGATCAGGGGCTGCTCTGCTTTCATCACCGTGATAAGCTTTATCAATGTCTGACTCTAAACTTTGGTGCACGAGCCTCCAGTTACTACTGGTCTCGCACTGCTGGACTTCTCTGCAGGTTGTTGCGCCGCCTGCTGTTCGTTAATCACGCTTTGATGATATACGTTGATGACCTGCTATGTTTGCTGCGCAAGTGTGCGTCGCCTCTGCTGTCAGCATTCATAGTTATCCTCCTCCTTGTTTTGCAGGTTCCAATGTCTTGGCATAAAGCATCCTTGTCCTCCCAACCTGTCTGGATTGGTTGGCGCATTGACTTGCTGACTGGCGCTGTCCAGATGGAATCTGCCAAACAGCATCGCCTTCTGCTACTGCTTCAGCAAGTGCTGGATGCTAGACATGTCTCTCGACATGATGTTGAGAAACTCACGGGCAAGCTTCTGTGGCTGTCGGGCTTTCTTTCCTTTCTGCGACCCACTTTGGCACCTCTGTATGCGTTACAGCATTCAGGGCAGACGCTCATGGCCGCACTCACGCTTGACCAGTGGTCTGCATTGCGTGGCGTTTTGGACGCTGACCTGGTTGTCAGAGGCACCATTAATCACCCTTCCGTGCCATTCGGCTCACGTCTGTTCCGGTTGGCGCGGCTGCCTTTGTCTTGTCTCGCAGATGTTCCTGATTGGCTACCTGAGTCTAGGCGTGTATGGGTGCAGGTTAGCCATCATCAAACACCGTCTGTGCCTGTCACAGCAGAAGTCCGTGAAGTTCTTTCCCTGTGGAAAGATTTCACGCAGTCTCCAACTTGCCAGCACTCCGTCTGGATGGCCCCGACATTTGCCTGTGAAGCATTTGCAGACGCCTGTGCCGATGCCAGCTCTGTGGGTATGGGGGGTTATGTTAAATTCCCCTGTCGTTCCAAGAGGTTTTTCCAGGTATCCCTCTCCAGAGCTGCTCTACGACACATCTGAGAGCTTCATTACCGCATTCGAACTGTTGGCGCAATCTGCGCTTGTTTGGACTATTCAGGCCGTGCTTCCTCTGGGTCACCCTCCACTGCATGTTGTTCTCAGATGTGACAACTCTGCTTCGGAGGCCGCTGCCTGGAAAGGCCTTTCTATGGCTCAAGGCCTTTGTTGCGTTCCTCGACAGTTCTGTGACCTGCAGCGCCGCACATGCATCTCTGTCCACATTGAGCATGTGCCTGGTTTTCTGAACGACATTGCTGACTCATTGAGTCGTTCAGGTGATCCTAAAGCTTTGGGGTTTGACGAATCCCAAAGAGTCTCCCCTCCGTGGAGAGAACTTCTCGTGCCTTTTCGGCCCCAGTCAGCCCCTCTTGAGGCTGACTTTTCTTCTTCCGATGCTGCTCTTCTTTGAGTGGCATTCTGCCGCTGGGTCAATTCTGATCCGTCTCTCTTTAGACTTATGCCCACCCCGTACTGTCTGGCTGTGGTGCTCCCTGCACGGGGTTGAGCACGCAGCTTGCTCTGCCCTCTGTTCAGCCGCAGACTGAACTCTGGACCTCTTGCCACTCGTCAAAAAGAAGGGCATGCCTGCGCAGGGTTCTTCTGTCCAGTAGGAACGGACTAGTCTTAGCAGTAAACGGTTAGGAGTGTCAATCCTGTCTGTTTCTGCTTCAGACGCAACGGAAATGCTGTGCTATCCGCAGCCACTGTGGTTGCAGCACAGCATAGGAGTTCTGAGCTCCCACCATCCTTCCCCTGGCTCCACCTCTCTGTGGATTTCATTTGGACTTTTGATGCTCTGCTGTCTGATGGGTTGTTGGGTTGGACTTATGCCCGCCCCATACTGTCTGGCTGTGGTGCTCCCTGCACGGGGTTGAGCGCGCAGCTTGCTCTGTCCTCTGTTCAGCCACAGACTGAACTCTGGACCTCTTGCCACTCGTCAAAAAGAAGGGCATGCCTGCGCAGGGTTCTTCTGTCCAGTAGGAACGGGCTAGTCTTAGCAGTAAACTTGAAGGGTTCTTGGGACCGCAGCAGGGCGTGAAGTGGAGAGGGGGCACTGCACCGGCGCCGCCCAAGTGGGCCTACGACAGAGACGACCTCAGAGCATTTGCAAAGTATGAGCGGAAGGTGCGGCTTTGGGAGATACAGGTCAAGCCCTACATGGGCAAGCGCGAAGCTGCCCTCCAGCTCTACAATGCTTTGAGCCGGGAAGCTCGAGCAGGAACTTGAGCATGCGCCGCTTGACCGGGTTCACCGTCCTGAAGGCATCAATTACATACTGAAGCAGCTTTGCGGTTCGATGTCTAAGCGCTTGGTGTACCAGAAGCGTAAGTTCTTGGCCGAGTTTGAGGGCATCAACAGGTTCCCAAATGAACACCTTCGTGCTTTCGTGAACAGGTACAGACGGACCGAGTGCAACCTCCAAGCTGTGGACATCAACGTGACTGCCATGTATGATGGCGATGCCAATGGGAGTCGGCTCCTCGACCGAGCACGCCTCAGTCCCCAACACCAGCGGCTTGTTCTAGTCGGGGCTCGCTATTCCCTAAGCTTCGAGGACATCTCGGAATCCTTGGTCATGCAGTTCCCTGACTTTAAGGCACCCCCTCTCGTGGTCAACCGAGATGGCCAGGTGATCACCAGGACCGCTCCGACTTCGGCGTCTTCTTCTTCAACCTCCAGGTTGGGCAAAGGCAACCAGCAACACAGCGTTCCAGGCGCCAAGGGTCAATGGCGTGCACACAAGTCTTGTCGGTGTCAGCCTTTTCAGTTGGCGCAACGACAGCAGTTCACAACGACGCAATAGCACCACTGGTCCCGACAGTTGACCAGTCATCACCTGACCAACCATCAGACCACCCGTGCCATGACCAAACCTCGTTGGACCAGTCATCAGTGTACCGTCCGTCATCGTACCAGTCATCCGACACATTCCCATCCAAGTTTCATTAGTGTCGTACCATCCGTTCCAGTCATCCCATTCATTCCCTGCTTCAGCGTCCTTGCTTTCTTCAGTCAACGCGGCAACAGCTTTCGCTTGTGGACATTCCTTGCTCCAGAGCCCGTTTGAGCCACAGAGAAAGCATCCAGTGCCTTTTCGTTTTCTTTCTTTTCCGTTGGTAACTTTCCAGTTTCCTTTCCCTTTTCCTTTGCCAGTTCCTTTCTGGTGGTTCTTGCCTTTCTTTCCTTCGCCTTTCTTTCCAGTAGTTTCTTTCCAGTACATCCAGTACTTCCTTTCCAGTTACGTTTGTTTTTCTTTCTTCTTTTGTACCAACCTTTCAGTGAAATGTCCATTGGCATGGGGCCTGGAGTGTCCCTTTTGCTGTCAAGACCAGTGGCTAAGTGTCTGCTTGTGTGGTATGCTTGCAGTGTACCTAGTGAGTCCTTCCAAGTTTTGATACCGGATATGTTCTTCGCAAGTGCTGCTGTAACGCTCCAGTAGTCTTACGAATGAACCTTGTGATGAACAAGTCATCTTGTATCAGTGCACCAGTAGCCTTCTCATATCTGTTCTTCAGTACGATGAACTCACACAAGTCCTTCTCGAAGTGATGCGGACGCAGTCTGAAATCCAGTATCTCGGTCGTCTGACGGCCAAAGTCAAGCAGTTTGTAGTAGACATTCGGATTGTACGTGGCGTTCCGGTCAGTGACGTCTTCATCTCTGATCTCGGTGGTGATTCTATCACACTGATCAGCTTGTACAGTCCTGTGTACTTCTTGAATTGCCAACTCCAGTCTTCGTATTTCTCTGAGACTCCGAGAAAGACAGGTGGTGGAGACAATTTGATCTCACTACCAAGTCCTTTTGAGTTCAGTCGAACCGAGTGAGGCCACTCTGGCCAAAGGGCAATTTTACAGCCCCAGTTCTAGCCAGGCTTCCGCTACAAGGAAAAACTTCAAGAAGCTCGCCATTGACAGAATTCTGCATGCAGATCGCTCGAGTTCTCTCTTCACACAGTCAACACCGTGCCTGCAGTACTCCACACTTTTGCAGGGACAGTGGAGCCAGTCTTGACATTGAGCCAAAGGGCCCGGTCTTGCTGTGGCAGTTGAAGTGGACCATGTCGTCTAAAATCCAAAACCCCCCCCCCTCCCCTCACCCACCCCCACGACTAGCATAACAACATGATGACGACGATGTTCATGACGACGACGATGACGGGGACGAAGTTGTTGTTCGTGGTTTCGGCGATGTTAATGCGGATGCTGATGACACGGCTTCTTGTGTCGAGGATGATGATGTTAACCCATCCAGTCACCATAACAATGATGAGGGTGATGATGATCAGGATGATGTCGACGAATTGCTTTAAAGCAGTCTGCCTGGAGCCGTGTATTAATTGATGTTACAAAGAACCCCTCCTCCCGTTCCTCCCCTCCTTCAAACATAGCCGTGGGAGATTCTTCGTAGTGTACGGCCTGTAAAAAGACGTCGTCCGCACTCCAGCTTTCTTTAGCTTTCGTAGCCTGGCCATGCCGCATGAGATGAGCAAAACCTTCCCTCAAAGCAAAATCGATGCGGCGGCTCAAGTTGCCAGCCGTTTGTGACACCGGAGATTCAGCATTCATCTCAGGGCCGTGAGGCAGTTTGCGAGCAGACTTTTTTGTGAGTGCGATGGATGATGTGAGCGAGAGCGGCACGTGAGGTCTCGCTGAGCAGCTTTCTGAACAATTGCGCGGATTCTGCCAGGTTGTCTCTGGTCCACCACCCGAAGTAGCAGCCAAAGCAAAGTCTCAACAGGTGGGCTCAGAAAAGGGTGGGCAGCTGCAGTCCTCATTGGCCGTCTGCGCAAGGAGCCAGAAGAGTCCAGGGAAGACTTGATGAAGTTGCCTGCCTGGAACCCAGTACACAGCGCTCACACGTAAATTACGGAATTGCAACATGGTCCCTGCTAACTGGTAGACAACTGGCCTTCGCTGTCGCTGGCTCCTCTCTCCCTCTCTCTCTCTCCTCCCAGCCCAGATCCTTTCTGATGGATTTACGTGGGTTCTTCACGGTCTTTACCCACTGGATGGTGCAAGCTTCGTCGTTGCGATGCAGGATAATGGCAACGCCTAGTTTGCGCGGCAACTCTCCTTATGTTCATCAGTTCGAGCATCGGAGAGTGAGATTGCATTGATTACGCAGCAAAGATCGCTGCTCAAATAGGATTAGCTGATGATGACGGTTTCTGCTGCGGGTTCAAGTCACGGATACGGTTCAGCTTCAAGTGGACAGGGTGGCATTACCCGCAGTAGCTACTTGTACCATGACCCAGGCCTGAGCAACACCAAACTCGAGAAGCCCCGAAAGCTGCGTTTTTGCACAATCCTGGTAGGATGGACTGCCCAGTTTAAGGTGAAATGCCTCGACCTACAACTTATGTGAGAATCCCTGGCACGTGCATGCACGCGTTTGCACTTGTGTTTGTGCATGAAAGACACGGGCACGCCTCTGCATGTGCAAGCACCAGAGCTCGCCCATTGGTGCTGACAGTCTTGGCCTTGCTGAGAATCAATGTGTCTTTAGTTGCAGTAATAGCTGAAGCTTATTATTGGCAAGGATGGGAATAATCAAGTGCTCATCTTACTCCTCAATTCAGTCAGCAAGCAACATCAATCAACAGCCTCCCAGAAACCCTGGAAGCTGGACCTGGAGAACGCGGAGCGCGGACGTATCTATGATGATGCTACAAAAGCAGGGTTGGTAGTAACCCGTAATGAAGTTAAGGGATGTTTGAACAGTCAATCAATCAAACCCAGAAGCAATTAACAATTATTCAGCACCTTTAGGCAATATGTAGTATGGACATAATGGGTATGATTAGACTTATGAAAGACACAAGAACCGATAATCCTGAATATCGAAGATATGGTTTGGTGTGTGCTGACTGTTTTAGTGAGAAGTGTCGCGTTGTAGCAAAAGAAAATTGAAGCTCTTTCTGATGCTTCTATGGAATGTCCCAAAGTAATGGGACATCCACACTCAGTTTATCGTGATGATGAATCATCAATGAAGGTGGTTTCGAAAACAACAAGCTACACGATATTTTGCAGGGGAAGGAATGACGCATAACGTGAACTCAACACGTGCATCAGTGGCAGAACGTCAACTACGTACTATGAAGAAAATGATATTTGCTAGGTAAGAAGTACATAAAGAAGCATGGACAAGAATGTTGAAACCCGTTTTAGATGAGCATAACAAACAAATGGAGCAAGGCACGACTGGCATGACACCTACTGATGCTTATCGTGAAGAAAACGCTGCAACTGTTAAAACAAATTCAGCAATGAAACCCAACCGTATACAAAATTATCCTGACATAGGATTTACACAAAGCGCGGTGGTAATTATACCAGTGTCAAAGAGTCTCGCTCTCATTGATCTGAAAAAATTATGGAGGAGGGAGACAAACAATTACATAAAGATTATGTTCCGGAAGGGTTACCTAAGAAGTATATGAGTCATATGAGGCATGAATAAAGACAGATTATTGACCCAGAATGGCAGGAAGTATGACAATCCTAGATAACAGCAAGTGTAATGTATTTATCAAGTTTAAAAATGAAATCCCGTAATACTAAATATAATCTTACCTGAAGCTTTAACGTGTTCATCGTCGCGCTTTAGTTAATATGTTAGTAGCATGACAAGACGAATACAACGGCGAAAGGCAATAACTATAATTGAGAATCGTAATAGTCTCTTCAAGAATGTTTTAAAATCAGAGTATTAGAACATTGGCAAGCCAATCAATGAATTATAGCATTACACCAATGCGATATATTCTGGTTATACGCGTGATTATCCTGACAATTGGCTATGTAAATCATTGGGTAGAGGGGTATCGCCCCCTGCATTTCGTGCACTTTCCTTCATAACATATGTACGACATGTATCCTTGTATATAGTATCCGTTGCAAACATGATGTTATACGGCATGCATTCCATTTTATAATACGAGTTGCAAGTGTGATGTTGTGTGT